GTAAGTTCATAAGTGCTTAATGATTTATCGATTCGATAAATCTCTAATAATATTCAATACTGGAATCATCCACCTACGTAGAATACTATTTTTTTTAAATACAAATAAATATCATAAATACATGATATATAACATACCAACGAGTAAATAAATTTATAATTAAGTGGAATGTAAAAAGTAATGTTATTGAACTTATTATCACAGAACAATAAATACCGTAGAAGTGCTTAGTGGGTGTGATACGTGTGCCAACACTTTCGCTTAGTACGTTATGGTCGTGTCAACAGTGTGAATTATGGCGACTGCAGTTTTTTCTTTCGTACTTATATTATAATAACTGGGTTATACAATTATAAGTGTGTGTTTGTCAAAGCTACAAGCTTCCTTATTTATTATTATAAAATATAAATTATATGAATAATTATAGGAACTACCTCTCAATTATTGTCATGCTCTACTGGGCCCACAAATATACATAAAATGATTTTAACATCTACTTATGGAGAGCAATAAAATGATTCATTATTGAGTTTTAATTTTTAATGTAACTAACCAAAGTCAGTCAGTCTACCTAAGAAACTGTAATTGCTATTATTAATTTAACTGTTTTCGTACTCGAACAGTTGCCATGTTGGTCTCACGTAGACCCCGGGTCCGATTCCCGGGCATGGAGAAATATGTACATGGCCTACATTTATTTCTCTCGTGAGTTTAGGTGTAATTTGTCGTTATCTATGTGTGGGTCCATGGCACCCGCGACACAAGGTTTCCCTAGTGGGAGTCTATGAGTGTGTGAGTTATTATTTTCATTAAATCGTTGTTTATTCGAAGTTCCACAAAATACAATAGTCTTTTTGTCTTACACTACATACATATGTGAGATTTATAAAGATGACTACATTATTTAGACGTTGTATAATCATTAGAATTGTAAATGAAATAAGAATAAATATTATAGGTACGAGTAATTGGAATATAACCACCTCGAAAACTTTCAGCGTAATTAAGTCTAGTTTACCCGTAATTATAATATTAATGAGGAAAGAAATCTCAAATTAGGAAATACCCTGTACCGCGAATACCAGAATATCATACTCGTCATACGTCTAGTAGAAGTAGAGCTCCTTGTAAAAGAATTCGCCCAAGGAAGTTCTGCTACCTCACCTATTTCTGCCGCCAAGAAATAATGTGAGCATTAGTGCGTTCTAGTTTTGAAGGATTACGGTGCTGATGAAATTACATTATGATATATAACATGTCAACTTATGTGTCAGGGCGACAGGCGCAGTGGCGGTGCCCTAAGATCTTTGTGATTTAAAGCTCTGAGTGGCACTGCAACTGGTAGGAAAAGGCGTGTCGTGTCGCTTCCAACTCGTTTGTCCCGAAACTTCGAAACAGACCCAATTTAGAAAAGTTAATTTCCCAAAATGGTACCACCGGGAATTTAACCCGGGCTTTGTTATTCAGTGCCCAAAGGGCAAATTGTTCGGCCACAGAGGTTGTAATTAAATATCAATTCATCTACAAAAGTACTTATTACATTCTTTACTGAAATATAGTTGAAGAAACTTAGCAAAATTTACCAATCGTCAAACTGGTACCCTCATCGTATAACAGTTGACATCGATTTCGCGTACAATGATCGACACTGAGTATGGGCTAAGTATATTTGATATTATGTTCTTTTGTTTTGTTCGCTACCCAAATAATAAAGGTTTAAAATAATAAAGAATAAATGTGAAAGTGCCGATTTATCGTACAGGCCATTATGAATTAAAATTAAACCTGCATGGTGTCATATTTCAGAGTGAAACTCTTTTCATACGAAAACTAAAACATTCTTAATATAAAAAAAAAACATGATATTTGATTGTTCGACTTTCAATTGTTTTTACATTCAGCTTTTAACGTGAAAATGGATACAGCGAAAATCAGAATAATTTGCGAATACGAGTTCCAAATGGGGTTAACGCAGTGGAAACTGCTCGTAATGTCAATGCTGTGTTTGGACAGGACACGGCTAACGAACGCACCAACCGTTTTTCGACAATTTTCTAAATTTCGACTTGAAGAACGAACCACGCGCTAACTGCCTCCATGCCCGAACGGTTACCATGCCGGACTGCCACACAGAGATCCCAGGATCGATTCCTGGGCCAGGAGAAATATTTGTATGGCCGTCATTTATTTCTCTCATGAGTTTGGGTGTAATTTGTGGTTGTCTATGTGCGACACAGGGTTTCCGTAGTGCGGGGCTATGTTGAGTGTATGCGTTATGTTGAGTGTGTGTACGAGGAAGGCTAGTCACTAAGGTAAATAACACGAGGAATTAAAGGTGATAATAGAAGCCAAGGACTAGCGAGAACTACCAAGAAATTAGCGGCATGATTTAATGTTAGCATACCCACAATATGCAACATGGCCTTTGAACAATGACGGCGAAGCTCGCAGCAAAATGGCTTCACATTATTACTCTATGATAACGCAACATCTCCCAGTGCTCGAGAAACGGTTTTAACACTACAAGACCTGCAGTTAGAAACCGTCCGTCATTCTACATACTCGCCGGACCTCGCCCCAACCGACTACCATTTTTTCCACTATTTGGACTTTTTTGGCACGAAAAAAAAAGAAATTTCCGGGAAGCAGTCCAAAATGCCTTCACACAGCTTATGGAATCCAGGTTCCCAGAGTTCTATCGCAGAGTTTTAAATGACCTTCCGATTAGATGGCAGAAATGTATAGAAGGATATACTTTGATTTAACAAATATATTTTATCTTACAAAAAAAAGTGTTTTAATTTTTCAGTACGAAACGGCAATTTCATACGTTAACCCCTAAAACAGTTACCACCTAGCGTTAATAAGAACTAAGCAATCAGTGTAAAATATCCAATATCTGATAAAATAGACCTCATTTCAATTTTAAGTGAAGCTTCAAAGGTGTTCACGATTACAACATACTTACTACAAAAGAAAAGGAAACAATTTTTTCGGAACGAAATTCGCGCATATTTGTTTTTTTTTCTTATAAACAAACCGAGGTTTCGGGCTCTTTACAGGCCCCAAATGGTACATTGTGCCACAAGAGCGGTAAGTGGGCAATTACAAACAGAGGGACAGATTCATGACCCGAGCGTTTGTCATTGCTGTCCGCTCGTGTAACATACTAATGTTTTCTATCACACTTGCGAGGAAGTTAAAAAAAGGAAAATTAGACATAACGTTATACTTTATTTGTATTATATTTACAAAATATTAATATTTTGTAAATATAATAGAAATAAAATATGTATTTATGAATTTAAAATACATATGTATTTATTAATAAGTATTTCCGAAAAAAAAATATTTAGGACATTAAAACTTTTCCTTTGACTTTAAGTATAAATGATTTCTTTTTTTATTTATGTATGCCAAGGTAACATAACCTTATAAATGGACAAATTAAATAACACTCACTGCATTTTTATTAAATTTAATAAATAAAATCGAAAGGTCAGTGGTGGCCGAACTTCCAGTTTGTCCATGCTCTATACGTGGGAGCGTAGGAATTTAAAATAAGTCATTACCTGAGTCGTATAATAAAAATAAAACAAAATACGCAACGTTAGATCGGAAAATAGTTTTATTACCAATATGAAAACCAATTTAAAGTGCATCTTAAATAAATTGTTCTCTTGAAGGTTTGTTTTTTACATTTCATAAGTTGTCACTACAGTTGAAATTATAAGCGCAGGTTTCTTGATAACATTACATAATGCATATTTGGTAGGTATTACGAAAAATAATGTTTATCATAGTCATTCAGTTCAAGCAATGTAAGATATTACCTAAACGTAACTTTTCTTAAGGTTTTTATCTAAAACGTTCTGTTGTATTTAAAAATATAGTTTCCAGTTCTGCACTTTTGCACGTTATATATACGAATTTTTCAGTTCGCGTAGCTTTGACACTACATTGTTTAATGGAACTCACAGAGTGTCTAGTGGAAGTCAAAGAGTTTCATTAGTTAATAACCAAAATAGGATCAAACTCGAAGACTCTCTTAATAGGTACGTGCAGTTACCAGATAAAACAAATACACCTCACTGCTAGCCGGCAAGGTTGTTTTGCGGATGAAGGTATTAATATTCCGCGGTTTTACCGAGCGCTGTCATTGCGGCGTAGTGGCAAATTAGTTTGCAAAGTCTTCATTCATTAGTACCAAAGTTATATAACAATTTCGCCAACCTATTGGAATATTCCACCCTCGTTTTTGGGAGAAAGCTGCTGGTAGATATTACAATATTATTTTAATAAAAAAAACTAAATTATAGTGAACTTAAGACATGTGTTTTAGTTCAGTTACTTTTGTATTCTACTTCAACTATGACTCTCTCCGTAGATGCCACGCGGGCGTTGCGTCGTCGCAACTGCGTTGATTTTAACGGACTGAGTGCCACACAAGCTGTTCCATCGATGCGCGCTGTTTCAACATACCGTGTGGTGTGGCATATCGTTCTGATTCATATGTAGTACAACAAAAGTAATATGACGCAACGCCCGTGTGGCATCCCTAACGACATGCCACACGGTGCGTTGAAACAGCGCGCGTTGACGGAACAGCTCGTGTGACACTCAGGATCGTATTCTAGAACTCTACTCAATAGGAAATAAAACTATTTTTCCGGATTTTTCAAACAAACCGACGTTTCGGGCCCTTTTACTGGTCCCATGGTCACGGTTGACTGAGGTGGTACAGTTTTCAACCAGTTATGTCTAATATTGATGCAAACCACCCTATTCCTCACTGCAATACTCAAGTCAGGACTTGAGTATTGCAGTGAGCACTGAAAATCATACTCAAGTCCTTGCCATCAGGGTCGTATTTCCAGTGCTTGAAATCATACTCAAGTCTGCTCAAATCCTGACTTGAGCATTGGGTAGAGTTCTGGAATACGACTCTCAGTCCATTGAAATCAACTCAGTTGCGACGCAACGCCCCTGTGGCATCTCCTTAAGAGCCAGTCCACACGGCGCGTTGCGTTGCGTTGCGTCGTCGCAACGCAAATATTTTGACGCATAGCCGGCCACACGGGCGCTGCACCATCGCAGCGCTATGACGCAGTCTTAACGTTCCGTCGGCGCAGCGGCGACGCACAGTTGCGGCAAGCATTTTGAAAAAATTTCGCAGTCAGTCTATAGCAAATCATGGATCGGAAAAGACGTCTAGCATTGCTCCTATTACTACGTCACCGCCGAAATCGACGCAAGATCACAAGACGGTACTGGATCAGTCCTTTCATTTCATTAAGAAATCGTGATGGACAGTTTTTTTTTTAGAATATCGGGAGTTGCTATTAGACGAAAAGAAGTTTTATATTTTTTTTAGAATGAGTGTATCCAGCTTCGAATGTTTATTGAAGTCCTTAGAACCACACATACGAAAAAACTATACTAATATGAGGAATCCAGTGGAACCAGTAGAAATGCTGGGAATTACTTTAAGGTAACTATATAAATATATTTAAGTAATAAAAATATAACAGTTTTTTTGGTTTGTTTAATTAGTAATCAACTCACAAATAATCAGCAATTGTCATAATTTTAAATTTAGACATTATTTAAGAGAGATCTCATCCAGTAATTACAAATTAGAAAAATCGTATTCAGTTTCTTCACTTGCTTGAGATGTTTCTGGAGATGTAATTGAATTATTATAATCAGAAATGTATGTACTTTGAAAATTTGTTGTTTGATACCCATATGGTGGTTGGTGAGACGTTGATGGGCCACTCACATATGATGATGTTTGTCCATACCGCATTTCATCTATAATTTGTATAACTTTACTTTGGAAACGGAGAGTTTCTCGGTCGGAAAATTCTTGAATAGATGGCAATATAGCTCTGAAAAAGGACATATGGCGATTTTCCGGCTCCTTGAGAAGTTTTAGTCCTTCTCTTTCAAACTCATCCATTTGCATTGCCCTTTTGCGCGCGACTGGAACATAGCGCGGAGTGTTGTCTGTCGTAATGTCATCATTTGTAGACGTAGATTCATTGTTGATTTCTCTAGGCGAGTCTAAGCTAGATTCGGTGGCATTTTGTTCCACTTTTCACAAAAAAAGAAGTTGATTGTATAAATGATACTTCTTCAGTTTCGTAGCGCCCGAGCCCGATTTTGATGCTTCTTTTAATTTTTTTGAATATCTGAAGTAATTATCTTTTACACTTCTCCATTTCTTTATTAAATCATTACCTGCAAAACCAATAGTAAACATGATTTAATAATTTATACATAGTGAATTTCTCGATAAAATTTAATGACATATTCAGA